CAGGATACATCATGCGAAAGGCTGGACTGGAGGAATCCCAAGCCAGAATTAAGACTGCCGGAAGAAATATCAACAACTTCAGATATGCAGATGATACTACTCTGATGGCAGAAAGCGAAGAGGAATTAAAGAACCTCTTAATGAGGGTGAAAGAGGAGAGCACAAAAATGGTCTGAAGCTCATCATCAAAAAATCATCAAAGATCATGGCCACTGGTCCCATCACTGCGTAGCAAATAGAAGGGGAAGATACGGAGGCAGAGACAGATTTTACTTACTTGGGCTCAACGATCACTGCAAATGGTGACAGCAGCCATGAAATTAAAAGACCCCTGCTTCTTGGGAGGAAAGCAGTGACAGACCTCAACAGCATCTTAAAAAGCAGAGACATCACTTTGCTGACAATGGTCCACATAGTCAAAGCTATGGTTTTTCCAGTAGCAATGTATGGAAGTGAGAGCTGGACCATAAAGAAAGCTTACCACTGAAGAATGGATGTCTTTGAATTGTGGTGCTGGAGGAGGCTCTTGAGAGTCCCCTGGACTGCAAGGAGAACAAACCTATCCATTCTAAAGGAAATCAAGCCTGAGTGCTCAGTGGAAGGACAGATCCTGAAGCTGAGGCTCCAGTACTTTGGCCATCTCGTGATTAGAGAAGACTCCCTGGAAAAGATTCTGATGTTAGGAAAGTGTGAAGGCAAGAGGAGAAGGGGACAACAGAGGACGAGATGGTTGGACAGTGTCATCGAAGCTACCAGCATGAACTTGACCCAACTCTGGGAGGCAGTGGAAGACAGGAGGCCCGGAGTGCTCTGGTCCATGGGGTCACAAAGAGTCGGACACTACTTAATGACTAAACAACAACAACAACAACAACAACAACAATTGTCTCTGTAACTAGAGCAACTTCCAGATGCAATAGCATAGTTGCTGAATAATCATCTTCAGTTCTGATGAATCCATGTCTGCTCCTTAATTTTCTGTGACCTGCTAGATGAACAGAATTTTGTGCAATACTAAAAGGGCTGTGCATGAAAAATAGCTAGACTCTTGTTGATATTTGCGGCGTAAATGGAAATCACGAAGCAGTGTACATATTTTGTTAGTTGTCCATTGTGCTTGTGGACATGTCCTTGTGTACTTGGTTATACACTCAGTTGTGTGCCCAGGAATATAACAGGTGGCAAGTAAAACATGAAAACTGCCAAGAGCATTTACCTCTGCACTGTTTTGCAACAGGATATTGGCTAATCAATCAATCAATCAATCAATGTCACTTCATCGGTGTCAGAATCCTACTAGTATTATTCAGCTGTGATGCATTTATCATTTGCTGATTTTCTCCAGCAGCACCTTCCATTGCCAGCATGTGACTATAGCTCAACATCTTGATCATTTCCCACATAATTTAAGACTGGTTTTTCTTTTATGTTATAGCTACAGCCAGTAATGCCAAAAAGCTGGCAGAATTCTATTGGGTGTCACCAGCATCAACTTCAAACCTAAGTGAAGTGAGCAGAGATTAAACAGTTGTTTCATTGACCAGATCAGCACTCAAAGCATGACCATAATTTTTTCCAGCTTTTTCTGGCTGTGATAATTTTGTTTTTTCTTCATTTCAAATGGCATAGTATATAATATTGATCTGTCTCTGCTGTCATTAGAACGGTTTTGAGCCATATTTTTCATCAAATGGAGCAGACTCTCCCAGGCACAGCTTTTCTCAAATTTTCAGTCTTCTTTTACATTAGGCACACTAGCAGAGTTGGCAGTAGTGTGTATGATAGCTAGGGAATGTGCAATTTTTGGCATGATTGATATTTTTAACTGGACAGTTTTTTTGAGAACGAGAAATGATTTTCAAGTGCACTTCAGAATTAAAATGACACTTAAGACATTCACAACCCTCTCCTATGCTGTGCAGTACATAGATCAGAACATAGAATTAGAAGATACTCTCTAGAGGCCAGAACATAATCTCCCTAAACCTTCAACCCAGGTGTGAGCAAAATGTGGCCCTTGGGCTTCATATGCCCCTCCTGATGCAAATAGAAAAGTTTTTTTTTCAAGCAAGATGAGGTGAATTACATCTCTTAGGATCCTTCTTTACCAATGATTCTTGCTTTGAACAGGTTGCAGCCTCCTGCAGTGTTTATCAGCCTAAAATTCCCATTTTTCAAAAATGTGAGCATCTCATGTGATTTTCTCTGTCTCCAAAGATGTGTAAGATAAGGATCCTTTCATCAAAGAACTTGATAATTCTGCCACCTTCAAAACCATACTCTTGGTTCCCTTGAAATTCTAGTACAGAGGTTCGAAGCATGCCTTTGATCTATAATATGCTATTTCAAAAACAGATGTTGAAATTTCTGATAAGGAAAATATGTTCTCCAAGTAATGATATTATTAGGATATAGACAGCACTTAACATAGGTTCTTGTTTCAGTTGGAGTTGTTGCCTTTTAGCCTTTACCCATTTAATTGTATTCTGTTTTAGACTGGGGAAAATTTACACTTCCTCTTGCCATATACAAACTTCTTTCCTAGCATATAATGTGTGCAATTTCTCACTTCCCAGCTCTTTAACTGTACAGTATAACTATAATTACAAAAGATGATAAAAATGCCTGTGACTCAGGTGCTTGTTATATCTGACAGGTTGTTGTATGTCTAAAAACAGTCTTTGATTTAGTATGGCTATTTTTCAAAAAGCTATATTTGTTCATATTTGCATGATGCAATTTGTAATAGTTCTTCTGTTAGGCATGAGTTTTGTTTCCATGGAGATAAAAAAACACCTGTGCACAAGAAGGAAAGCTTGGAAGACTTTTGTTTCGTAGAAATAGAGGAGGTTGGCAAGATTAGTAAATCAGACATTTAAAAAGGGATTCAGTTTCTTTGATTCCTGTGGTATCTGCTTGGGACCCTGTACACAAAATCAGGCTTCAGTGCACACATCTTGCTTCAACAAATAAGGGCTGAATGAGCACTTTATGCTACTTCTGATCCTAAATCCTAGAACATGGAGCCCTATTAGAATGAATGGTGATATATTGCTAATTACCTATTTGGTAGGAGTGTGGTAGGGCAGAATTAAATTTCTACTTCCTCCTCCTTGTCCTAAAGTAATTTATATAAATGCTACTTTTCTAAGAATTTTCAAATCCCAGTGGCTGTATCCATTCAGAGTTGGGTCAAGGCTCCAGAATTTCACTATGCTTCAACAATTGTAATTTGCGTTCTAAACGTTTTACTTACCTTACTTTTTTAAAACAGTAAAAATGTGGGGTTTTTACTGTAATCTTTAGAAAGAGCAAATACAAGGCAGTTGCAGTCAAAAACCTGGGGCTTAAAATATTTAATCATCCCAAATTTTAATTCTTAATTTGTTTTGGCATACTGTGTGTTTTAGTTATGAAGCCAAAGTCTTTTCCTAGAAACCTGTGATGAAGTAACTGCGTATAATGTATCTTCTGTGATACAAAATATCTTTTTCTATTTGCTGTTCATACCTTCTAAATTAGTCACTGTACCTTTTCCCCTCCTTCTTTTAGCAGTCTGGATCTGTTTCTCTTGGGACACCAGCAACCAGGAAAAAAGAGGATGAGGTATCAATTGGAAGCACGCCTTTGGCTAAGCAGCAGTCAAATCAAGCCTCTGAATATGCCAGCAGCCCTGTCAAAACAAAAACTGTAACAGGTATGTTCTATTTCCAATTAAATCAGACCGCTCTTGTACAGCTTTTGCTTCCTGAAAGATTTGCACATTCCTGCAGATTCAGGTGCACTGATGTATTGAGACGTATTTCCACTGTTAATATAGTTAGTTTAATTTAAAATTTCTAGCATTTAAATGTTTGGATTTTTTTTAAGCTCAAGTTGATTGCTGTAGAAGGCTAGATCATCTGCGTCTAACAAATTATGCTTGAAAATCAGATTCATTAATACTTGTTTGATACCTCATGTAATTTGTACTGAGCTTTTTGAAGAAACTGATGTTTATCCATACAGTTAATAAGCAACTAAAAGCCTGGGCCACCAAAGTTCAAATAACATTGGCTGAAACCATAATACATTGCACCTATTTGTGTGATCCTTTTTAATTAATCCTAATTAATTAATTAATTAATTAATTTGTTAATTCAATCAATCAATTTCTATACTGCCCATCTGGCTACATGGCCACTCTGGGTGTTTCACAACATGATAAAAACAACAAATAATACTTAAAAGAAATTCACAGCATAACAATAGAAAAATCAAATTAAATATATCAATCAATTTAAACTAGAAAAGAAAAACAAAGAACAAGACAGCATAAAAAAAATTAATAATACAAGGTGGTGGATGGATAATTTTTTCCCTACATATGTTTATTTTTATTAAAGCAAACTACAGCAAAATACAAAATAAGAAAAAGAAAAGAAAAGAGCCCAAAATAAACCCACCCCTCCCCCCTTCAGAGGACAAAAATTCCACCCTCCTTTGGATCCCATATTCCCCAGGTTTCCGGTGAGCCTTGAAAAAAGTAATAGACATAAAACATTTTGCCCGAAACTTTTCTCTTTTCCTGAGCCCAAACATATATTAATTTCCAACTTTGTTTTACACAGTCTCTTGGTTGTTCTTGTAGTGCTTCTGAAAGTGCATCTAATTCTGTGATATCCAATAGTTTCTTTAGGAACTCCTTCATCATGGGTATTTCTTGAGTTTGGGCCCAGAGTAACCTAGCAGCTGCGAGTATATACATTACACAATAAATAAATAAACAAATAAACAAACAAACAAACAAATAAATAAATATTTGATTTTCTTATCGGTAATTTCCGACATGAATGATTTCGTTTATTATTTCCCACACCTGTGTCCAATAACCCTTAACTTTTTCACATGTCCACCACACATGATAATAAGTTCCTGCTTTTTTTGCACTTCCAACAAACATTGCTGTTGCCCTCAGACATTTTTGCCAACCTTACAGGGTTATAGTGCCATCTGTAGAACATTTTGGGGATATTTTCTCTTAAATTTACCAGCTTAATCATTTTATGTTATTCTTTCCACATCATTGTCCAGTCATCAATATCAGTATTGTAACCACAGTTACTTGCCCATTTTATCATTGTCTCCTTTACCCTCTCATCCTCCATATCATGTTCCAATAGATATGTATACATTTTTAAAATTATTTTCTCATCAGTATAGATCCACAGTTTATTCACTTGGACTTCACCCTAATGAAGCCCACAATTTTATCTTTTTTGTATCTCGATTCTAATTTGTTCATTGACCACCAATCTGTTGTCACCCCTAGTTCCTCAAGCTCTTGCTTATTTTTTATGTTTTGTTCTTTATTAACTAAGTCTTTATATGTTAGCAGCGCCCCTTTCTGATTCAACACTTTCAAAGTAAATGCTTCTATAGGCGCTACCCATGTTGGGATTTTCTTATAAATTTGTGTTTGAAATTTTTGCCACACTAGACATAGTGCCTTTCTCAAAATGTGTTCCATAAAATGTAATTGCTCCTTATACAGTATTTCCCATACCACACATATGCATGCCAACCCATTCTTAAATCATGCCCCTCCAATTTCAATAATCTTTGATTTACAAGAATTATCCATTCTTTTATTTATTTTTATTTATTTATTTATTTCATTTATACCCGGCCTGTCTAGTCAATTGTGACCACTCTAGGCACATCATAGCACAAGCCTTATAGTATAATAGCCAGTTTGGTAGACCTAACCTCCCCCCTTTCCTTTCAAGTCCTGTAATAACCTGAGTTTTATTCTTGGTTTTCTTCCAAAGAAAATTCACTGTCAGAGGAGCCAAATCCTTGAAATATTTAAAATTTAATAGTATTGGCAGATTTTTAAAAAGAAATACAAGTTTTGGTAATATCATTTTTATTGTTGAAATTCTTCCCATCAGAGATAATTGCAGCTTACCCCATTCTTCCAAATCTTTCCAAATTTCCTTCTGTATTCTCAGATAATTCTCTTTCATTAAGTGGCTTGGTTTTTTTGTAATAGTAACTCCTAAATATCTGATTTTCTGTACTACTTCAAAATTCATTTCTATCACTAATTTTTCCACAATAGAAGGCTATTGTCTTCATGTTCCACTTGCAAAAATCTTGGGGGCATTAATTAAATTAATATTAATTCAGCAAGAATGGGACAGACAATTCAATGGACTTTCCATCTGACACATTGTGTCTCTTGTGATTTTTCCATCTTTAGTACTCATTACTGTTGTGCTTTTTCCAGTGTTCTTCATATTTGCATCAAAGAGACAAAGGGACACCTCTTTGATGCTGCTTAATGGGTAGTCAATGACTTCATCTCTCTGTGTTCCCCAAAAGGATCCAGAAGCACTAAAGTGTTTAAGGCTTCAGGAGATTTAAGGGCTGAAAAAATATCGCTACCCTAGATCTCCCCTCCTGATGCCAGAGCGTAGCACTTAGTGTTCTTCATGGAGTAATGAAAAGACCATAACTTTTTTGTATAGTCATCAAGTCGTGTCCAACTCTTCGTGACCCCATGGACCAGAGCACACCAGGACCTCCTGTCTTCCACTGTCTCCCAGAGTTTGGTCAAATTCATGTTCGTAGCTTCAATGACACTGTCCGACCATCTCATCCTCTGTCGTCCCCTTCTCCTCTTGCCTTCACACTTTCCCAACATCAGGGTCTTTTCTAGTGAGTCTTCTATTCTCATGAGATGGCCAAGGTACTGGAGCCTCAGCTTCAGGATCTGTCCCTTCCAGTGAGCACTCAGGGTTGATTTCGTTCAGAATGGATAGGTTTGTTCTCCTTGCAGTCCAGGGGACTCTCAAGAGTCTCCTCCAGCACCACAACTCAAAACCATCAATTCTTCGGCGGTTGCCCTTCTTTATGGTCCAGCTCTCACTTCCATACATTACTACTGGAAAAACCTTAGTTTTGACTATTTGGACTTTTGTTGGCAAGGTGATGTCTCTGCTTTTGAAGATGCTGTCAAGGTTTTTCATCACTTTCCTCCCAAGAAGCAGGCGTCTTTTAATTTCGGGGCTGCTGTCACCATCTGCAGTGATCATTGAGCCCAAGAAGGTAAAATCTGTCTCTGCCTCCATTTCTTCCCATTCTATTTCCCAGGAGGTGATGCGACCAGTGGCCATGATCTTAGTTTTTTGGATGTTGAGCTTCAAGCCATTTTTTGTGCTCTCCTCTTTCACCCTCATTAAGAGGTTCTTTAATTCCTCTTCGCTTTCTGCCATCAGAGTAGTATCATCTGCATATCTGAGGTTGTTGATATTTCTTCCGGCAGTCTTAATTCTGGCTTGGGATTCATCCATTCCTGCCTTTCACATGGTATATTCTGCATATAAGTTAAATAAGCAGGGAGACAGTATACAGCCTTGTTATACTCCTTTCCCAATTTTGAACCAATCAGTTGTTCCATATCCAGTTCTAACTGTTGCTTCCTGTCGCACATATAGATTTCTCAGGAGAGAGATAAGGCAGTCAGGCACTCCCATTTCTTTAAGAACTTGCCATCGTTTGTTGTGGTCCACACAGTCAAAGGCTTTTGCATAGTCAATGAAGCAGAAGTAGATGTTTTTCTGGAACTCTCTAGCTTTCTCCATAATCCAATGTATGTTAGAAATTTGGTCTCTAGTTCCTCTGCCCCTTCAAAATCCAGTTTGTACTTCTGGGAGTACTTGGTCCATATACTGCTGAAGCCTACCTTGTAGGATTTTGAGCATAACGTTGCTAGCATGTGAAATGAGTGCAGCTGTACGGTAGTTGGAGCATTCTTTGGCACTGCCCTTCTTTGGGATTGGGATATAGACTGATCTTTTCCAATCCTCTGGCCACTGCTGAGTTTTCCATACTTGCTGGCATATTGAGTATAGCACCTTAACCATGCCATCATTTAAGATTTTAAATAGTTCCACTGGAATGCCATCACTTTGCTTTCTTCCCTTCCCTTTTCTTTGGGATGGTTTATGTTGCTGCCTCCTCTACAGTGTTACGCGCCTCCATCCATAGTTTTTCAGGCACTCTGTCCACCAAATCTAGTTCCTTAAATCTCTTCTTCACCTCCACTGTGTATTCATAAGGGATTTGGTTTAGATTATACCTGACTAGCCCAGTCGGTTTTCCTACTTTCTTCAGTTTAAGCTTGAATTTTGCTATAAGAAGCTGATGATCAAAGCCACAATTAGCTTCAGGTCTTGTTTTTGCCGACTGCATAGAGGTTCTCCATCTTTGGCTACAGAGAATATAATCATTCTGATTCCGATATTGCCCATCTGGTGATGTCCATGTGTAGCCTCTTGTGTTGATGGAAAAGAGTGTTTGTGATGACCAGAGATTGTCCTCTTGACAAAACTCTATAGTCTTTGCCCTGCTTCGTTTTGAACTCCAAGGCCAAATTTATCTGTTGTTCCTTTTATCTCTTGACTCCCTACTTTAGCATTCCAGTTCCCTGTAATGAGAAGAACATCTTTCTTTGGTGTCATTTCTAGAAAGTGTTGTAAGTCTTCATAGAACTGGTCAATTTCAGCCTCTTCAGCATTGGTGGTTGGTGCATAAAGTTGGATTACTGTCATGTTGAAAGGTCTGCCTTGGATTCATATTGAAATCATTCTATCATTTTTGAGATTGTATCCCAGTACAGCTTTTCCCACACTTCTCTTGACTATGAGGGCT